GGTGGGACCTACATATGGGTATGTTTGATACCTACTATTTATATTCATCTATCGATAAATATATACCTATTTGTTAGAAGATTTTTTCTCGGATTATTAATCTAGAGGGTTAGTAACCCAGGATAACACAATAAAATCAGTTCATTATAGAGGACAAGCTGTGATGAATGTATACCTTAAATTGTGGGTGTCCTATAGCTAGATTGGTAGTGCACTCAGCTTACACACTGAGGTCCAGGGATCGATCCCTGGTATGGCTAGAAACAGTAGGACATGTTTTCTTAAGACCTGCTAAAAATAGGTACCTGGGTGTTATTCGACTGGTGGGTCGCATCCGGGGACAAAATTGACCTAATTTGCCCGAAATGTTCTGCATAGCAATCGGATTTCTATATAGTAGTATGTCATTGATGTCAGCTATGGTCTGTTTACCTTGTACATGTACTTTTAGAAATAAATATTATTATTATTGAACACGTTTCAAGATAGAGCAGTGTGCGGTAGAAAGTTGACAGTTTTCTTTGAGAACTGAAGGTTTCGTTTTCTTTGGTAGCGAGGATGGATAACTGTTATAGTGCCTTCTCATCAGTTGTAAAATATATAATAATAATAATAATAATAATATCTCTATTTACTACAAGTACATGTACATGGTATACAGACCATAGCTGACATCAATGACATACTACTGTATATTAAGCCCCTTGTTATGCTGAGCATTTCGGACAAATTAAGTCAGTGCCCCAGGATGCGACCCACAGCAGTCGGCAAACACCCAAGTACCCATTTTACTGATGGGTGAACATAGACAACAGGTGTAAAGAAACACGCCCAGTGTTTCTACCCTGGCTGGGAATCGAACCCATACCCTCGCCGTGTGAAGCTTTATCCACCAGGCCATCAGAGCCCGTATAACTTTTATTCAGGTTCATTTTTATTTGTTTTATAGGCGGTATTATAAATTTTTACACTGCATTAACACGTAGTTGTTACAGGCAGATATTGATTTTTAAATGATGCAGATTTAACGTAGAATAACAAAACGGTGAAACTTTTTTTTTTTGGGGGGGGGTCCTAGATTTTGTTGGGATTATTGATTTATAACATTTTCTGGTTTAGCTCTCAAATTGATTATACTACTGCTAATAATAATTGGATTATTATGGTAATAAATGGTATAAAATACCGACACAATGGAAATATAAACACAAATGCAGCATTCTTTACCTGACCTCAACATTCTGACTATAAATACTCTCGTACCTTCCAACCCCAGGTAGATCCGTGTGTGACTTGAGAAAGCCCACTGTGTGGGTGAAACGTTGTCAATAAAGGATCACATTATACTGCATTTGTGTTTATATTTCCATTGGATTATTAACTGAGAGCGTTATCCACCCAGGATAACCCAGTAAAATCAGTGCATCATCGGGAACTGTCTTATTTCCATTGTGGTCTTTATATCTCTCCCAGGATGCCACCCACAACAATCGACTAACACCCAGGTACCTACTTATTGCAGTCTTTGATGAAAAAAGAAGGAAAATGTAACTCGGTGAATCTTTGGTGAATGTATGTACATTCCTCGTCAAGAAACTCAGGACTACAAATTCGGTATGCTCTTAGGAAAAACCCGATGATGATGCCTCTTTTGGTCTTGGTATCTTGACTGGAATAGAAGTGTGTGAGATCATTTTTATTGGTGGGTTTCCGATAAACTTGAAATCTTAGGTTGTCTACTTTGTGAATGAGGACGTCGAGGAAAGGTAGCTTGTCATTGGACTCTTCTAGTGTAAACTGGATCGCCGGTTCAACTGCGTTGAGCCTTGCCTGAAGATCCCGTACATCAAACGTTTTGGAGTTATTACGAGGACATCGTCCACGTAATGTAACCAAGTGACGCTTGAAGGGATGATGTTGGCGAAGTGTTCGGACTCTAGGTGTTCCATGTATAAGTTGGCTAGGACGGCACTTATGGGGGACCCCATTCCCATGCCGTAGGTTTGTTTGTAGAGCTTGTTATTGAAGAAAAACAGTTGAAATTAACACAGAGTTCAATCAAGTCAACAAAATCTCCGGGAGGTAGAGGAAGATTAAGGTCCTGATTGACTTTACGTCGTAGAACCTCGATTGCTTTTTTGGTAGGTACTTTTGTGAAGAGGGAAGTCACATCCAAACTGCTTAGTTTCTTGTTACATGAAGAGGTTACGGATGCGGTTGAGAAGGTCGCCTGAGTGTTTAAGATGAGCGGGGCTGATGGTCCCCAGAAGGCAGGAAAGATGTTTGGCAAGAACTCCGGCTAGTTTGTGTGGAGCACTGCCTATTCCTGACGTGATAGGTCTGAGAGGAATATTGTGTTTATGGGTCTTGGGTAAACCATACATGTGTGCTGGTTTAGGGTTGCTTGGTAACAAGTACAGAAGTTTCTTCCCTTCTCTAGTGCGTTTGAGTATTTGTCTGGTTTTGTATAGAAAATCTTTGGTGAGCGTCTCCCACTGTTGAGTGCTGATGGGTTCGTATGTAGATTGATCATTCAAAAGGTCCATCATTTTAGTGTTGTAGTCACTGGTGTTGAGTATGACGACTCCACCTCCTTTGTCGGCGGTGGTGACGATAATGTTGGGGTCGTTGGCGAGGTTCTTAAGGGCAGTGATGTATCGTCTAGGAAGATTAGAAGAAGAAGGTTCACATAAAGCTGCAGTGAGAAGGCCCTGTATATAACCCTTCTGGAAGTTGCTGTCACTGTGTCTATGGTTCCTGGTAACTAGATTGAGTTGATAGTTAGGTTTGCGTATGTTGGTGGTAAATTTGAGTCCCAGACTCAGTGCTTGTTTTTCGTAGTCGGTTAAGGTGCGTGACGATTAGTTGTTTATCAGGGATTAGCGTCCCATTTCCTTCCATCGACTGTTAGTGCAGAGGTACTGAAGTTTGCGATTGAGTTTGATCTTCTGTTGGAGGTTAGCTGTGGTGACTGTGCTGAGAATATGCTCAGCAGTGTGTTGGTCAATCTGAAGATTGGCCCTCATATTCCTTGCAGTTTCAAAGGTTTCCTTAGCGAAGTTAGAAAGTTCTTCGGCACATTCAGTTAAGTAAGCTTGGGTAGCTGGAGAGAAGGGGTGCTTGGAGTTGGAGAGTTGTGCAGGAGTAGACTTAGGGATCACCTTCTCTGCCAGGCAGTCTTGTAGGAAGTTGTGTCTGTTGCTATAGCTGTGAGCACGAAGAAGGGTGTCCAAATAACGTCCTTCGTGCTCACAGCTATCGCAACAGACACAACTTCCTACAAGATTGCCTGGCAGAGAAGGTGATCCCTAAGTCTACTCCTGCACAACTCTCCAACTCCAAGCACCCCTTCTCTCCAGCTGCCCAAGCTTACTTAACTGAATGTGCTGAAGAACTTTCTAACATCGCTAAGGAAACCTTTGAAACTGCAAGGAATATGAGGGCCAATCTTCAGATTGACCAACACACTGCTGAGCATATTCTCAGCACAGTCACCACAGCTATCCTCCAATAGAAGATCAAACTCAATCGCAAACTTCAGTACCTCTGCACTAACAGTCGATGGAAGGAAATGTGGACGCGAATTCCCTGATATAACAACTTATCGTCACGCACCTTAACCGACTACGAAAAACAAGCACTGAGTCTGGACTTCAAATTTACCACCAACATACGCAAACCTAACTATCAACTCAATCTAGTTACCAGGAACATAGACACAGTGACAGCAATCCAGAAGGGTTATATACAGGGCCTTCTCACTGCAGCTTTATGTGAACCTTCTTTTCTAATCTTCCTAGACGATACATAACTGCCTTAAGACCTCGCCAACGACCCAACATTATCGTCACCACCGCCGACAAAGGAGGTGAGTCGTCATATCACACCAGTGACTACAACACTAAAATGGTGACCTTTTGAATGATCATCTACATACGAACCCATCAGCACTCAACTGGGAGATGCTCACAAAGATTTTCTATACAAAACCAGCCAAATACTCAAATGCACTAGAGAAGGGAAGAAACTTCTGTACTTGTTACCAAGCAACCTAACCAGCACACATGTATGGTTTACCAAGACCCATAACACAATACTCATCAGTACCTATCACGTCAGGAATAGGCAGTGCTCCACACAAACTAGCCGGAGTTCTTGCCAAACATCTTTCCTGCCTTCTGGGACCATCAGCCCGCTCATCTTAAACACTCAGGCGACCTTCTCAACCGCATCCGTAACTCTCCATCCGTAACAAGAAACTAAGCAGTTTGGATGTGACTTCCCTCTCACAAAAGTACCTACCAAAAAAGCAATCGAGGTTCTACGACGTAAAGTCAATCAGGACCTTAATCTTCCTCTTAGTTCCCCGGAGATTTTGTTGACTTGATTGAACTCTGTGTTAATTTCAAATGTTTTTCTTTTCAATACATGCTCTACAAACAAACCTACGGCATGGGAATGGGGTCCCCATAAGTGCCGTCCTAGCCAACTTATACATGGAACACCAGAGTCCGAACACTCGCAACATCATCCTCAAGCGTCACTTGGTTACGTTACGTGGACGATGTCCTCGTATAACTCCAAAACGTTTTGATGTATGGTATCTCAGGCATGGCTCAACGCAGTTGAACCGATCCAGTTTATACTAAGAAGAAGAGTCCAATGACAAGCTACCTTTCCTCGACGTCCTCATTCACAAAGTAGACAACAACCTAAGATTTCAAGTTTATCGGAAAACCCACCAATAAAATGATCTCACACACTTCTATTCCAGTCAAGATACCAAGACAAAAGAGGCATCATCATCGGGTTTTCCTAAGAGCATACCGAATTTGTAGTCCTGAGTTTCTTGACGAGGAATGTACATACATTCACCAAACATTCACTGAGTTACATTTTCCTTCCTTTTTCATCAAAGACTGCAAGAAAAGAGCTCTTCAGATCATTAATTCTCCACGCATCAACACCACTCCCAACAAAGTTATAATTCTTCCCAACAGCCAGGTTGCACTGAACGTCTCAAAAGTACTTTCACAAGCTAACACCAGAGTTGCCATCGCTTCACTTCAATAAAGGATCTAACCAGGACAAAATCCAAGCACCACGAACCAGTCAATGCAGGAGTTTACACTATACCCTGTGGAGGCTGTGACAGATTTACGTAGGTGAAACAGCAAGAAACCTCGACACCCGCCTCAATGAACACATTTACGCATGTAGGAACGATAACTTGAACAACGCCTGTGTACAACACCGAAATTCCACCAATCATCTCATGAAATTCAGAGACGCCCAATTAGTGATCAAAGAAACTAATTTCCGCAGACGAAAGTGCCTCGAATCAGCACTGATCGCTGTTTCAAATACAATTAAACAAAACAACGGCAGCTTCACATCTCCGAAGTCTTAGCAAGAATCCTCCTAAAAACAGTAAACCCTGCCATCACATAGTCTCTCCTGTTATACTACACAAAGCACATTACAGAGAGTGAACACTGAAACAACCTGCCTCTTTCCACTCTATATTTGTCCAACCTATTTTTATGTTACCCAAGTAATAGCTTTTATATCCTTTTACTCATGTACGAATTAATTGCTCTACCATATTGTATTACTTTTGTCACTACCACTACTACTACTACTACTACTACCACTACCACTAGTGAACATCGAAATGGTACCTCACTAGTATTCACCTCACTCTGAGCCTTTATATACTCTCTGTGTCCATGTATTGTTTGTAATGGCTTGATAAAGCTCCTGGAGAGCGAAACGTTGCCACAATAAATGTCACATTAGTTGCACTTGTGTCCTTTTGCTTTACATATTGTCGGTAATTCTACCAACTTTATTTCAATTTACCATATGCCTATAAGAGTTTCAGTGTAGTCCTTGTTAACCTTTGGTCAGAACCTACCTTGTTTACCTGTGATCTGTGTCTAGAATTGTTTGCCCTCGCAGCCCAGCTTAAGTTCAGGCTTCCTTGTTTAGTGCCTGTTCAACCAGTCTGTTGCTTTTAGCCGCCTGCTGGCCCACGCAGCCATTACATCCTGGTTGATGTGATTTAGGCACGTACGTATGCATCATATAATAGAAAGTATAAAACACATACCTGAGCGCTGGGCTTTGCAATGAGCTGAGGTGGGACAAGACACGAGTCAGGTGCATGCTACGGTACCATACCTAGTACAGCAGTCTACTCAACGGCTTTGATGACGGTGAAAAGCTCTTGATCCAAGGAACTGGATATGTCCCGTTGCTCGGTTGGTGGCGCACTCAGCTCACACACTGAGTGTCTGTGGTTCGATCCCTGTTACGGGTGGAAACATTGGGCGTGTTTCCTTACACTTGCTGCCCCTGTTCACCTAGTAGTTAATAGGTACCTGGGTATTAGCCGACTGGTGTGAGTCGCATCCTGGGGAACAAAATTAACCTAAGATGTCCGAAATGCTCTGCATAGCTAGTTCTGTATAGTATGTCATGGATGTCAGCTGTGATCTGTGTAAACTGTATCATGTACTGGTAGATATGAAGACTTATAATTATTATTATTGAGTCGAATCTGATTGCCCCCCTCCCCCCCTTCCCTCCCCCTCCCCCCTCCCTCTCCCCTCCCCTCCCTCCCCTTCCCTCCGTAATTTACAGCTGGAGGAAGCCCTGGAGGACTTACCACCAACCTGTTCACTGTATCACTGCTTATAAAAGCAAGAAACTCCACAAAATATCTCCAGTGAAAGGCTGGGGAGCGATGAGTACACTAAGATATATCTCAATAAATGTAAAGGGACCAAGACTCAACACCCACCCTTCGTGCACAAGGGAGAATACTAATAAACCTTTGGCTGTCTTAAAGAGAGCTTCAGGTTTCTTAAGTCAGTTCGTGATCGACCGTACTCGGTGCATTCATTGGACTGCGTGTCGCTGACACCAACAGCTTGGTCCATCAGACCAGTCACCAAGAGGCCTGGTCACACCACCAGGACACACCACCAGGACACACCACCAGGACACACAACCAGGACACACCACCAGGACACACCACCAGGACACACCACCAGGACACACCACCAGGACACACCACCAGGCTACACCACCAGGACACACCACCACGACGCACCACCAGGACACACCAGGACACACCACCAGGACACACCACCAGGCTACACCACCAGGACACACCACCAGGCTACACCACCAGGACACACCACCAGGACGCACCACCAGGACACACCACCAGGCTACACCACCAGGCTACACCACTAGGCTACACCACCAGGACACACCACCAGGGCACACCAGGTTACACACCAGGCTACACCAGGACACACCAGGTTACACCACCAGGCTACACCTCCAGGACACATCAGGTTACACCACAAGGCTACACCAGGACACACCAGGTTACACCACCAGGACACACCACCAGGTTACACCACCACGACACAGGCTACACCACCGGGACACCACCAGGCTACACCAGGACACCACCAGGCTACACCAGTCTACACCAGGCTACACCAGGACACAGCACCAGGCTACAACACTAGGCTACACCACCAGGACACACCAGGCTGCACCACTAGGACACAGCACCAGGCTACACCAGGACACACCACCAGGACACACAAGCATGCTACATCACCAGGACACACCAGCAGGTTACACCAGGCTACACCACCAGGACACAGCACCAGGACACAGCACCAGGACACAGCACCAGGCTACACCACCAGGACACAGCACCAGGCTACACCACCAGGACACAGCACCAGGCTACACCACCAGGACACAGCACCAGGCTACACCACCAGGACACAGCACCAGGCTACACCACCAGGACACAGCACCAGGCTACACCACCAGGACACAGCACCAGGCTACACCACCAGGACACAGCATCAGGCAGCGGCCGCAGGGAGCTGCTTGCCGATATTAATTGGATCTGAGAAAGTTGTCAGGTTTTTATTGTACAAGTTTGTGGGAATGTGGAGACCAGCAGCACCAGGTACTGGTAGTGGTACTGGTAATGGTGGTGGTGGTACTGGTAGTGGTGGTGGTGGTACTGGTAGTGGTGCTGGTAGTGGTACTGGTAGCGGTGGTGGTGGTACTGGTAGTGGTACTGGTAGTGTTGGTGGTGGTACTGGTAGTGGTGGTGGTGGTACTGGTAGTGGTGGTGTTGGTACTGGTAGTGGTACTGGTAGTGTTGGTACTGGTAGTGGTGGTGGTGGTACTGGTAGTGGTACTGGTAGTGGTGGTGGTGGTACTGGTAGGGGTGGTGGTGGTACTGGTAGTGTTGGTGGTGGTACTGGTGGTGGTGGTGGTACTGGAAGTGGTGGTGTTGGTACTGGTAGTGGTACTGGTAGTGTTGGTGGTGGTAGTGGTGGTGGTGGTACTGGTAGTGGTGGTGGTGGTACTGGTAGTGGTGGTGGTGGTACTGGTAGTGGTGGTGGTGGTACTGGTAGTGGTGGTGTTGGTACTTGGTTAGTGGTACTGGTAGTGGTGGTGGTACTGGTAGTGGTACTGGTGGTGGTGGTACTGGTAGTGGTGGTACTGGTAGTGGTGGTGGTGGTGATGATACTGGTAGTGGTGGTGGTGGTACTGGTAGTGGTGGTGTTGGTACTGGTAGTGGTGGTACTGGTAGTGGTGGTGTTGGTACTGGTAGTGGTGGTGGTGGTAGTGGTGGTGGTGGTACTGGTAGTGGTGGTGTTGGTACTGGTAGTGGTGGTGGTGGTAGTGGTGGTGGTGGTACTGGTAGTGGTAGTGGTTGTACTGGTAGTGGTAGTGGTGGTGGTACTGGTAGTGGTGGTAGTGGTGGTGGTGGTACTGGTTACTGGTAGTGGGGTGGTGGTACTGGTAGTGGTGGTGGTGGTACTGGTAGTGGTAGTGGTTGTACTGGTAGTGGTAGTGGTGGTGGTACTGGTAGTGGTGGTGGTGGTACTGGTAGTGGTGGTACTGGTAGTGGTGGTACTGGTAGTGGTAGTGGTGGTGGTACTGGTAGTGGTGGTGGTGGTACTGGTAGTGGTGGTACTGGTAGTGGTGGTACTGGTAGTGGTACTGGTAGTGGTGGTGGTGGTGGTACTGGTAGTGGTGGTACTGGTAGTGGTGGTACTGGTAGTGGTAGTGGTGGTGGTACTGGTAGTGGTGGTGGTGGTACTGGTGGTGGTGGTAGTGGTGGTACTGGTAGTGGTAGTGGTGGTGGTACTGGTAGTGGTGGTGTTGGTACTGGTAGTGGTGGTGGTGCTGCTGCTACTTATACTATTACTACTTATACGGCTACTGGTGTTTCTGGTGTTACTGAGGAAGCTGGAGTACTGCTGACAAGACTCACAAAATCGTAATGACATTTTTGCAAACAAACCATACCACGAGTTTTGAGACTCTGACCGCGGGTTCAAATCCCCCCGTGGTATGGTTTTTTTTTTACTGCTGACAAGTATGTAGACCAAGACAGTGGCACAACAGACACTGGAGGAACATTTGACTGTGAAGAGCTTTGTTAAGTTATATAGAGCTCACACCTAGCACGTGTGTGCGTGCGTGTGTGTGTGTGTGTGTGTTGTGTGTGTGTGTGTGTGTGTGTGTGTGTGTGCGCGCGCGTGCGTTGGTGTGTGTGTGTGTGTGTGTGTGTGTGTGTGTATGGTGTGTGTGTGTGTGTGTGTGTGTGTGTGTGTGTGTGTGTGTGTGTGCGCGCGTGCGTGTGTGTGTGTGTGTGTGTGTGTGTGTGTGTGTGTGTGGTGTGTGTGTGTGTGTGTGTGTGTGTGTGTGTGTGTGTGTGTGTGTGCGTGTGTGGTGGTGTGGTGTGTGTGTGTGTGGTGTGGGTGTGTGTGTGTGGTGTGTGTTGTGCGCGCGTGCGTGTGTGTGTGTGTGTTGTGTGTGTGGTTGTGTTGTGGTGTGTGTGGTGTTGTGGGTTTCGCGCGTGCGTGTGGTTGTGTGTGTGTGTGTGTGTGTGGCGTGTGTGTGTGTGTGTGTGTGTGTGTGGGGGTGTTGGTGCGTGTGTGTTTGTGTGTGGTGTGTGGTGTGTGTTGTGTGTGTTTTGGGTGGTTTTGTGTGTGTGGTGTGGGTGTGGGGGGGTGTGTGTGTGTGTGTGTGGCGCGCGTGCGTGTGTGTGTGGTGTG